CACGCAGTTCTCTGTGCCCAGGGTTGTTCTTCGCCTGCTGTGCACCGATGCGACCTGCTTGCCTGCAAAGCCCTGCACATGCGGTCCATGCTCAGTGATGTCGTTCTCGATCCCCCCTGGCCAGGGCAGGCCCCAGCTGGATATTCTCCAAGTTTCCTAGACACCATCGTCAGCCACGCATGTTGGCTTCTATCTGTCTATGTCCCATTGTCTTCTCTTATAAAGTCTGAGCCCTCTAAGGGTGATGATGTCTCATTCCTTTTCGTAACCCAGGTCCCAGACCCGTATACATCATGTGCTCAGGAAAAGGTGGCTGGATGCATGAGTCGTTAAATGCCTGTGTTTCAAGGACAGCCATCCCCAACCCTACTTGGTCCCTCTTCAAACAGGTCTCATTATTCACACTCCAGCCCACCTCCCTCTTGGGTCCTCTCAAGAAAAGTAGAGGACCAGTGTACCTGGTCCTCAAGTACCTGTACTCAAGAAAAGTACAGGCGCAGTGTCTCATGCCTGTAATCCCAGCACTTTGGGAGGCTGAGGTGAGTGGATCACTTGAGGATGGGAGTTCGAGACCCCAGGCCTGACCAACGTGGTCAAACCCTGTCTTTACTAAAAATACAAAATTAGCTGAGCATGGTAGCGGGTGCCTGTAATCCCAGCTACTTGGGAGGCTGAGGCAGTAGAATCACTTGAACCCAGGAGGCGGAGGTTGCAGTGAGACGAGATCACACCACTGTCTTCCAGCCTGGGTGACAAGAGTAAAACCTCGTCTCAAAAAAAAAAAAAAAAGAGAGAAAGAAATGTAAAGATATTATGGTTTATTATCATGATTATAACGTCTACCATCCCACCTTGATTATAAGTCCCTGAAGGACACAGACTGTGCCATGTCTAGTATTTTGTATCTTTTTTTTTCTTTTGAGACAGGGTTTAACTTTGTTGTTTAGGCTGGGAATGCTGCACCATGATCATAGCTCACTGCAGCCTTGAACTCCCCAGGCTCATGCAATCCTCCTGCCTCGACTTCCTGAGTACTGGGAATCACAGGCATGTACCACACACCTGGATAAGTTTTTGGTACACACAGGGTCTTGGTGTATTGCCCAGGCTGGTCCTGGGATTGCAGGCGTGAGCCATCACACCTAGTCTGTATCTTTCATTAGCACTACATTCTATCTATCTATCCATCTGTTTATGGAGTCTTGCTCTGTTGCCCAGGCTGGAGTGCAGTGGCGTGATCTCAGTTCACTGCAATCTCTGCCTCTTTGGTTCAAGCAATTCTCCCACCTCAGCCTCCCAGGTTCAAATGATTCTCCCGCCTCAGCCTTCCAAGTAGCTGGATTTCAGGCATCCATCCACCACCACACCCGGTTAATGTTTGTATTTTCAGTAGAGACAGGGTTACCATATTGACCAGGCTAGTCTCGAACTCCTGACCTCAGGTGATCTGCCTGCCTCTGCCTCCAAAAGTGCTGGGATTACAGGTGTGAGCCACCGTGCCTGGCCTCAATACTATTTAATGAATATTTGTTGATTAATTATTCTTTGATGACCAATAAATACTTTATTTGAAATATTTATACTTCTGTGGGTGTGCTGGGGTTTCATTGTGTTGGCTAGGCTGGTCTCAAACTCCTGACCTCCAGTGATCCACCCACCTCAGCCTCTCAAAGTGTTGGGATTACAGGTGTGAGCCACCATATGTGGCCAATTCTACAGATACAGACAGGGCGCTGGTGTTGTGTAAAATGCCGATCAGGAAGCAGTGAATAAGACAGACCCGGGTCTTGCCCATCAAGGTTCCACAGTCCAGCCTTACTTAAATGAGACAGTAGTATGTTTATTTTTCAACAGTAGAGAAATCATTTACAGTGAATGTGTCCTGAAAACATGAATAACCACAGCTACCAAGTACTGAGTTGTCACCGTGCCAGACACTGGGTCATGCAATTTACATATATTATTGCCTCATTTAATGCATACTTCGGAGCTAACATTTTGAATCTTCAATTTCCAGATGAGGAAGTAAATGCATGAAAGATGAGGCTACTTGCTTACATCTAAGGGACAGCACAGAATTTTACTCTATTTGTCCCACTCCAGATCCAGGTCTATTCACCTTTAGGACATCCATCCCCGTGTGCCACTGCAAAGATGGGGAAATATCATCCCTGCATGTTCTCTTTCTAAACCTGCCTCTGCACTCAGAGTGTCATGATTTTTGCACACCATATGTTTGGAAACAGAGCCAGAGACCAGGCCATGTGACCTGTCAAAGAAATGAAGAACAAGCCAAGCGTGGTGGCTCATGCCTGTCATCCAGCAGTTTGGGAGGCCGAGGTGGGCAGATCATGAGGTCAGGAGTTCGAGACCAGTCTGGTCAACATGGTGAAACCCCGCCTCTCCTAACAATACAAACAATTAGCCAGATGTGGTGGTGGGCACCTGCAATCCCAGCTACTTGGGAGGTTGCGGCAGGAGAACTGCTTGAACCCAGGAGGTGGAGATTGCAGTGAGCCGAGATCACACTTGGGTGACAGAGCAAGGCTCTGTCTCAAAAAAAAAAAGAAAAAGATAAAGAAAGAAACAAAGAACAGCCCAGAGGTCTTGTAGTTCCAAAATCAACGCCGAATGTTCTACTCCGTCTGCATTCCTGAAGACAGATGGGAGGAGAATGGGCAGCATCACGATGGCCCTGTCTGTGGAGAGAGGAACTGGAAAAAATGGGGCTGTGTCTATGTTGAGCAAATCCCAACAGAACGGTGTAAGATAAGGCTTTTTCAGCGCTACGCTCCCATGCAAAGCTGCAAGAGCATGCAAAGGTGAAGTCCGCTCTGGCAAGACTGTGCAGAGCTCTGCCAGGGGGGCAAGAGCACAGGGGTTCCTGGCTGACCAGGGAAATTGGGAAATAAAGTTATTAGATATGAGTGAATTTTCTAAACACCTGTGAAAATGCTGAGACCTATTTTAAGATATTTTATGAAAAAATATTTGAGCACAACAGTCCACACTGATAACTGAATACTCATCAGTTAATGGCAACCCAGAACTCTCTGTTTCAGTCCTACTGGGAGAAAAGGCCATGGAGAATAGAAGTGATTTCTTCAAGAAAAAAGGGTGACACTGACTTTGCTTTCAGAGAGGGTGTGTGGAAGGTCTTCCTCAGGCAGGGAGCCAGAGGAAAGGAGAAACAGGTGCAGAGCCTGCCTCCAGCAGGAACTGTGAGTGACTGGGGAAGCTACTTACCCTCTCCGAGTTGAGTTTATTCTGTGAATGGGGATAACAACACCCATTTTATATAAATATTGGAATATATGTCATTTATTCTATATGCTAATATGTATGACACATAAGACATACATAGATATACAGACAGGTGATGGATAGATATGGATAGGTGATAGATCGATAGAGATAGATGATAATGATAATGAAGACAGAGATAGTAAGATAGATGAAAGGATGGATGAATAGATAGATAATAGATAGATCAAAGGATGGATGAATGGATGGATAGATAGATAATAGAAGGATGATGGATAGACAGATGACAAAGCTGAATGGATGGATGGGTAGATGGATGCATGGGTGAATGGATGGATGGATGGATGGATAGACAGATAGATAGATGATAGACAGAAAGATGGATGGATGGATACTAGAGATGTAACATCTGAAAGTCCCCGTGACATGGTGATCATTAAGTGGTGGTTCCCACCATTATCCCCCTCTTCTCCTTTTCATCCCAACTCCATCTACTCCTTCTCAGTTCCTCCAGCTGAAAGACGCTGAAGTGGAGGGGCAGCTGCCCAGCAACAGGAAGAGCAATGTTGAGGGGGAGAGAAGAGCAGTTTTGAGCCCTGAGGACTAGCCCAGTGTCCCACACTCTACCTGTGAAAATGAGGCGACATATTTTACATTTTTGGGCAAAGTCTCAGAACCACCCACTATCAACTGTACACCCTGACCTAACCTTCTAAGCTGCTAGAGAAGGGACGGAGGGAGACGCCGCCTCTGGTCATTACTCTGGGCCCTGTGTTCCAAACATGCTAACAGAATGACTCAAACTGCTTTAGAAGTTTGATCTTTGTGTATTAGTATTTCCAAGCACTTAGCCAAGGAACCCGCAATTCTAAGAACAGCTCAAGCTTTCCTGAGAACACTTGCTTAAAGCCATATTTGTTAAGGAAGAATATTTTTTATTCTTCCTTATGGCAGTTACGTCAAGGTGCCATAAAAATGACGAAAACAACAAACCTCCATGTATATTACACACTAGGCAAGCTTCAAGGCCAATCGAGGCCCAGTGGGGGTCTGAAAAACCCGAGCAAAATCAATCAACTCTGAGTATCGCTGCTTTCCATGTGTAGTGCCCACTAGATAGCCGCTGTGTCCTCTGCCCTGGCACCCAGTCAATATTTAACACATTTTATTGAATGAATGTCTACAGCCTAGAGGAAGAAATCTGAATCATATTCATCTTACTCTGTATAATATGACAGACTTTAAGAAATAATAAAATAAAGCTTTTAAAAGCTGAAAAACCTTTTGTACTTATTTGCAAGGCGCACTTAGTGATCAAAACAGGTTTCACCATACTATTTGGATTTATAGCATTTAGTGCCCAACAAGACCTGAATCGTTACAAAAATGTAATCCAATTATTTCAGTAGCCATACGTTTGATTCTGTGCACGTCCAGAGCTTTCTCCTTGCAAACGTACAAGAGAGCAGGCCGGGGAAACTAGGAATGGTTCACATATTAAACCAGGCAGAGGGTGACTCCAGCAAAGTGCTGGGGCTGGAAATGCAAGGGAGGTAAATGCCTGCTGCACCCCCTGAGGTTTAGACAATGCCTTGAAAACTGAGGAGTAAGCAGATTAGGAAAAGATTTAGGAAAGGAAAGAGGAAACCCATTCCTCAGAATATTTACGCACAACTGAAATTGAACACCAGCGAAGAGGAGGGGAGAGAGAACAAAACACACCCCCAAGCATGACCCGTTGAGCAGCAAAATTCACGTTTTGATTCTTGCATTCGCCAAGCAGACACCACCTCAAGAAAGCCTGGGGTCTTTGTGCAGAGGCACCAAGCCTCTTCCTAAAGGGGGAAATGCATCTGCAGGAAGTTGGAACCAAATCACTTCGAGCACAGCTCATGCTCACAGTGAAACTGAGCGCACACTGGGGACAGAGCAGGTGAGTCAGTTCTCACGAAGGGCGCAGACATCCAATCTGGAGGCGATTAGCACCAGGCGCGAACTGATGATGCAGAACCTATGGAGGGTTTCCAAATTAGATTTCTGCAGCTAGACTTGCTTACTTGCTGGTTGGGCTCTTCCTTCCTCCCTCCTTCCCTGGCTTCCTTCCTTTGCTCCCTCTTTTTCTCCCTCTTTCCCTCCCTGCCTCCCAGTTTGGATGGGTGAGCAGTTACGTATCTGCACAGGCTGACGATGACACCTGGGAAAGGGCGTGCTCCCTCCATCCCACTGGCTGTGGCCTTTCACTGCACTTTCTGTGTCCTCTTCACTGAATGGACTAAAAAACAAATCACTGGAACATGGACGGCAGGGGGATCAGAAGTGGGAAGATGGCACCGTGAGACATGTTACCTGGTGTCACACTGAGTTGTGGGCTTCTGATTAGCTCTTCCAAGGGTCCTCCTACCCGTGTCCTCCAGGGTTTCCCTGACTTGCCAGTGTGAGGTGAATTCCCTCCCCTCCTGGCCTCCATCTCTACCCTCTTTGTCACAAATGGGGCCTGAAGCCACCTGTCTGCCATCGCGCCCCCCCCCGTAGAGCTGGGCATTTTCCTCCTGGGCACCTTCTTTGGTCTCTTTCACTGTCTATGTCCTGTCCTGTCCCGCTGAGCGCTGCTGCTGTGCTCTTCCAATACATATTTAAAACCATCATAAAGAGCCCCTGATTCTTCCGTGTGCACAGTGTATTGCTAGGAAAAACAAGAATCCTGATCGTTCAGAGATTCCATCTTCCCCATCCCCAAGTTTGAGATATCTAAAGTTCAAGCTCGATCACTTCCTTCACATTCGATTTTAAACACTATTGTTTCTAACTGAATGGCACCCCTTTTCTCATACACAAACAGCACATCTTATCTTTAGATAACTGGGTCTTGAGAAGACACACCATCACTCTCTCTAGGCAGATATTGAAGACAGAGCCCTTCCCTCAGCCTGGACTGGCTCTCTCCTGGCAGATTCTCATCCATCTTTCCAAACCCAGATGGCTGTCTCCCATCCTGGGAAGCCTTCCTCGGTCCAGAGCAGAGGCTCTGTTCTAGGAGAGCCTCCCACCTCTTCCCTCCCATCTCATGACACTTGGTAGGACTGGATCATAATTTATCTGTTTCCTGTCTATTGCCTCCAGCAGACAGTAAGTGGCTCTGAGGCTGGGCCAGGACGGTGATAAATCCATCTCTGCATCCCCATCACGCTGCCTGACACATTAGGCTGGAGAAATGTAAGGTAAGTGGATGACTGTCAATCCCCTGCCTTCCACTCTTCAGGATAAATATCCTTTGTCAACTGTGTAAAGCATTTAGCTGCTACACAGATGACAATGGCTTCTAGGAGATGGAGCTAAGATGAAAATAAGAGAGCAGAGGAAGTAAAATGTTTCTCTATCTGGCCTGAAGCCACACCATTCAGGGCACAAACGAGGCTGCCATGACCCACTACCTTCTGACCTCTTACTCTGTGGTGCCCTCTCTACCCCATGGCCTTTGAAGGCAAAGCCACAGGAGTTGGTGCATTCCACACAGCCTAAGGTCACTGGCAGGAAGCTGCTCCCATCAGCACTTGACAGGTCAATTTCCCTCAGTTGCACTCCTTGTGAAGTTTCCCCAGTCACTGTCGTGTACCTGCTGCACCTGCTCTTTGAAACCAGAGTATTTTGAGGGGTTCGAGGTAATAAACCCATTGTCACAGACAATGACTCAAGTCCCTTCACGGAAGCAGTAGAGACTGGATCACCCGCCCACTAACAAAGCTGAAATATGGCCCAACTTCTGTCTGCAACTAAAGCGGCAGGGACTCACAACCCACAGGTGGCATTCAGCCATCCCCAGGACGCAATGGGTAGAGAACATGATGGGGAGACGAGGTGCTTTCTGAAAACCCTTGGAAAGCAGCCAAACCAAAATGCAACCCCTGAACTGAAATCAGTCAACTGGGAATCCTAACAAGCAATGGCTGCTCAAATAAAGACAATGATGGTGGAATGATCATGGGAAAGGGTGGGTGGCTGGTGGCTGGTCTTTGAAGCAGGAGAAAGGAGGGGGCAGAAGAACTGTCAGTAGGGGCTGGACATGGTGCCTCACACCTGTAATGCCAGCACTTTGGGAGGATCACTTGAGGCCAGGAGTTCAAAATCAGCCTGGGCAACAGAGTGAGACCCCGTCTCCAAAAAAAAAAAAATGAGTGTGTGTGTGTGTCTGTGTGTGTATTAGTTAGCTGGGTATAGTGGCACACACCTATGGTCCCAGCTACTTGAGAGGCTGAAGTGGGAAGACGACTTGAGCCCAGGAGGTCAAGGCTGCAGTGAGCTAGGACTGCACCACTGCACTCTAGTTTGGGTGACAAAGAAAGACCCTGCCTCTAAAAACAAACAAACAAACTTAAAAAGAACTGGTCAGCTATGCTAACCAGCCAGTAGAAAGAGCTTCTCAGCAGAATCATCCTCCTGTGGAGAAGGCATCCTGGAGGCCAGCACAGGCTTCGTGAACACATCGAAGGCCACCCTCCTCCACTGCTCTGATACCCCGTTCCAGAAGAAAGAAAACTTCTGGTTTTCATTTGGTTTCTCACGGAGCACTTCCTATAGCGGAGAGAACGCGATTGTTGTGGACACGCATATCCAGTTACCTTGTGAGGCACAAACTGCCTTATGATTTAGTAAATGGACACTTCAGAGATTAGATTTTTTTCCCCTAAGTCTCTGAGGCTGGTTAGTGTGAATTAATTCACAGAGATGTCTGAACAAGATGAATGAACAGATCGAATGGAGTTTCCAAATTTCTAAAGCCAAAATCCAGACCATGGGCCCACAGTGGCCTGAATAAGGCATGGTGCCCCACCTTGCAAAGCTCACGACTTCAACCAGGTGACTGTTGCCCGCTGGCCACACCAGTGAACGGTCCTTATTAAAGTCGGCACTCCTCATACTCATAGGAGTAACAGCCATCACGACCCCCCAGGGCTTGGTGATCATGCTGCATTCTCTTCGGGGGATGCCTGGGCTCGAGTTCTCCCTAAAACATATGTATTCCATGAAGAGCCAGCTGTCAATTGCTCAAAGGGATGTGAAATGCCTTGGTGAGGATCATCTTTTGTTTCAGAAAATGGATGTGGCATGCAGATTAGGCCTTCCTCATTCCATTACATTCTTCCAAAGCTGATTCAGCTGTATATATGGGCAAATCGGCATTTATGTGAGCAAGTTTTAAAAAGTGAGCAATGGCTGGATGCAGTGGCTCACGCCTGTAATCCCAGCACTTTGGGAGGCCAAGGCAGGCGGATCACCTGAGGTCGGGAGTTCAAGACCAGCCTGACCAACATGGAGAAACCCTATCTCTACTAAAAAGGCAAAATTAGCTGAGTGTGGTGGCACAAGCCTGTAATCCCAGCTACTCAGGAAGCTGAGGCAGGAGAATCACTTGAACCTGGGAGGCGGAGGTTGCGATGAGCCAAGAACGTGCCATTGCACTCCAGCCTGGGCAACAAGAGCGAGACTCCATCTCAAAACAACAACAACAAAAACTGAGCAATGTAGAGGTCCACTCAAGAAAGCGGGGTACCATCAGTGTTTTACCTAGAGTTTCTTCTAGGCAGAGTGATCTGAGGTCTCCCCACCCATGGCCAAGTTCAGTCCACCCGTCCAGCCTGCCCTTGAGCTTATGACATGCCAGTTCCGATCTGGGAGTGGGAATCTCTTCGGGATCTTTCTCAGCTGTTAGCCCACACTCAGGGTGCTTCCTCACAGCTTGTGGTATCCTTGAGCACAATTTGGGCAAATGATCTTGATGTAATCATTAAAAAAATCAATATCCTTGAAGTTATGAGAAGAAAGGCGGGCCACATGTTATCACAAAATCAAGATCGATCTGTGAGATGCTGAGGTTCATCTTGACTGAGGAAATTTGTCCCTTGGACCTTGTGCTGTCTTGGCTGAGCCAAGTCCGTCACACCAGACACCAACACGCTTACCACAAAGCCCAACCCACGCCGTCCTTGGCCCTTCCCGGCAGTGTAAGCTATTTGGGCAAAGATGTTTTCTGCAAGTCCGAATTCCCAAGGGAAGATTCCTGGCAGCATAAGAACCCATCACATGGGTTTTTAAAATGAGCATCCTTGGTAGGAAAAAATATTTCTCCTTCCAAATGATGGATAGTAGATAAGTGGAGACCGAAAGAGGGCCAATTTATCAAGCGCTCGCACCAGCTAAGGAGAAACGTTTACATGGCATGCGTGCAAGAGGAGAAAACCTGGTGCCATGGCCTGTCACGGCCACTGTGGCTGCAGTCTGACAGCTCAGCAGGACAGGTCTATCAAACAAAAACTAGAGTGCTGTGCTCCAAAACACCGCAGGGGCTGAGCTCTTTTCCATTACAGTGGCTGGGAAGAATGAGGAGCTCCGTGCCTTACCCGTGGGGAGGCGGCCTCCCTGGCATGCTGCCTGCTTGGTGGCCTCATGAATAAGTCTTTAGTTGGGAATGGGAGACCAGGCACGGTGGACCCACGGGAAGGAGAAAGAGTCCAAGACCGAGACACACGCATTCTAGCGTCTAACGCTGCTTCAATTCGCTGCCACCTGACATCGACCCCAATCCTGGCTATGAAAAGGTCACAGGATAGCTTTGCAAGCCCTCACACAGCCGTGGCACCCTGCCCCTGTCCTTGGCTCCCTCCCCTCTCCTGTCAGATGCTCTCATCTCTCTGCTTATCCAACCTTCTAGACCCGCCTTGGTGGTGCTTCTCCCTGTCCTCAGTGACCACTGCGTTCTGTGACGTTCTGCAGCTGTGCACGGCCCTCCCTGTAGAGCAGACCCCCAGCCTCAAACTTTTTGTTCTCAGTGTCAACAACCAGCATTTCCCGATGACCTTCTCTGTTCCAGGCACCATGCTAGGTGTGAAACATAAAGATGACAAAGACTCGATGCCTCTCATCAGAATAACAACCATCTCTATCGTGAGAAAGATGAATTGGTAAAGAGGTGAATCTACTAATAATAAATTTGAGCTGGTGGTTCTCCAAGTGCAGCTGTGTTATGTACTAAAACATAGCCAGGATTTGACCTAACACCCATAGGAGTCTGAACATCTTACAGAATACAACTGAGATGCTAAGAGTCCATTCATTCTCTGCTTGGGACTCACAGAGCTCTGGAAGGCACCAGGAATACAGAAGCCCAGGCTGCCATCTTGAAGTCTGACACAGTCATGAAATCAATCTGGGACTAGTCTGGGGCAAAGCTAGTGTGACCAGGAAACCATCAAGTGGAAACTTACCAAATTTATACTCAAAGAAATACGGCATGTCTTTGCTTAATATGATACTTGAACCGTGGCAAATATTTCAGTGTATATGGAAATCATAAGGGTTTGGGTGCGCCACCCGTCAAATCATACTCAGAGGTACGCGCCAGTATCTCTATCCCGGACCTTTCCTGAATTCCACACATGCATACACCACTCTGTGGGTATCCCCCAAAGGTCTCAAGCTTAACGTGTCCAAAACCAAATTACTGATCTCACCCACCCTCCTAAATCTGCATGTCTACCATTCCTCTTTTTTCTTAACCATCAAAACTGTATAAAGTCAAAACCTTGGATTGAGACTTGAAGCCCTCCCCTTCTTCATCCTCCACATCCAGAACACATCTGAGATCTTTCCACCACTCTTCCCAGAATCACTGCCTCAACAGGAGAAGCACCTCTCGCCAGAGCTTCCCACTCGGTCTCCACCTTCCACATGTGCCTTCCAATACTTTCTTCAGCACGGCCGGAATAATACTCGAATGTAAATCAGGTTGGATCACACCACTGTTCAAAACCCTTCCCACTGCTCTTGGGTTAAAATCCAAACATTCTACCTAGTTTCTCTGTTCTCGCCCTAGGTACCTTCTGCTGTGTCACCTTCGGATGTCCTGTCTTTGATACCACCTCTAGACACACCGGCCCTCTTTCCAACGTCTCCCTCCCTACGGTCTATGGCAGATGTGCTTAGCTGCCTACTACCAACCCATTTCCTGCCTCTTTCTTCACTAGAGGAACTGTGCTTCCACTCAGGGCTTCTCCCCATTGTCAGCTTGGCCAACCATGATGATCCTGTTTTCTCTGCCAGTGACTGGTTTAGGTAAGATACCAGAGAGCTTGCTCCTCTGTACTTTCTCTACAGCACGTGAGGACGCAGCAAGAAGGCGGCCGTCTCCAAGTCAGGAAAAGAGCCCTTGCCAGGACATGAATTGGCCGACACCTTGATCTTGGACTTCCAGCCTCCAGACTACGAGAAATAAATACCTGCTGTTTACACCACATGGCATTTTGTTGTTGCAGCCTTATCTGACTAAGACATCATTGCTTAGCTTTAAATTGCTTTTCTCAGTCATTCTAAGAAACATTTGTCAATATGTCCCTACTCATAGCAGTACCAATACCCTATCCTAAGGCCACGAGTTCAGGGAAATAACTGTACAAACAAACCCAAAGGGAGGCCACAGACATTAGTGCAGACCACAGTAATGGTTCAAGGTTCAGACAGACATAAAGCAACGAATAACCAGAAGGCCAGAAAAAGGGCTACTTTTCCCCAGCCCCAGGGAAGGTTTCTCCAGACAACTGATACCAGCTTCAGTTCTTTGCGGGAAGAGGCCTGCCCTAGCATTTATTTCTTCAAGCCTTCCATAGTCAAGCTGGGTGAGGCAGGACCTCTGGTAAGATGTTTAATTGAGGACTTAGAGACCCTGGGTGAATAATACAGGGCTCATGTCCAGTGTCTGCTTACCCAGGACAACGACCACATCCCCTGAGAAAATGGTATGCAAAATTGTGTGTGTCTGTGTGTGTGTGTGTGTGTCTGTGCATGTGTATATCTGCATGTGTGTCTGTGCATGTGTGTGTCTGTGTGTGTGTGCACACGCACTCAAGTGATTTGATTAGGGGATAGGGTCCATGACTTTCATTAGATTCTCAACACACCTTCTGAAACACACCTCAACAGGATAAAACTGCAAAAGGGGATCAATGTCCTTTGAAAGGGAAAGCATTCTGTAAGTGCGATGTTAGTTTTAAAGCTCAGATGGAGCTGCCCTTTACCTATTTCCCTAAACAAGAGTCCTTTAGGCCAAGTATATGGCAATGGATGAAATTCTCCTGTGATAACGGCAAGAACGTACAGGCGCTGTCACCTAAATCCACACTGAACTACAAATGCAGCCCAGCTGAATGCTGGAGAGAGGCCATTTGCTTCTCAGAGAATGCAGCAAAGCCAATGCGGAGGGGGTGGGGGGTGGGATGTTTCCAGCATTCCTGGAGGAGAGGAGGATGCCTCACGCTGCCAAAATGTTCTCCAATCACCAGCCCCTGCAGTCTTTCATGGTGTGCAAGGGGCTCTTTCTGCAAGGAAATGTTCCCTCCTTGGGGATGATGAAACGGGGAAATTCATTGCCTAGCGACTGTGGAACAAGTTGGACTAAGCCTACCCCAAAAGTATGTTCCATAATAAGCATTTGAAAGTATAACTTCAAAAAGAAGCTGTAATTTAAAAATAACATTAGACTTAGGCAAAACAAATCAAACAAACAAGAAACAGAACTGATGATCCTGAAATAACTGTAGCAAGCCCATGTCCTAGAATTGTGTTTCCTGGGTTATGGAGATAAAGCAGCTGAGAAGAAATGAGAACTCCAAGGGTGAAATTTAGCTTTTCACTGCATTTTTTTCTCATTACGATTTCTTTGGGAGATGTAGTAATAGAGGTTTGTATCCACCAAAAAGCCAAAGTGGTGCATGAAAAGAGGCTTAATTAGCTATTAGAAAAACACAAATCGAAGCCCAATGAGACGCCACGTCATACCCATTAGGAGGCTATTATCAAAAAAAATAAAAATGACAAGTGTTGGTGTAGATGTGGAGAAACTGGAACGCCTGTGTTTGCTGCTGGGAATGTAAATTGGAGCTGCTGCTGCTGTGGAAAACTGTACGGTGGCTCCTCAGAAGCTAAATGTAGAACTGCCACATGGCCCAGCAAGTCCACTTCTAGGTACACACCCCAAAGAAGTGAAAGCAGGGACTAAAGCATGGATGTTTTTACACCCATGTTCACAGCAGCCTTCTTCATGACACCAAAACGTGGAAACAACCCATACGTCTGTCGATGGACCAAGAAAATAAACAAAACATGGTCTATCCACACAACGGAGTATTACTCAGCTTTAAAAAGGAAGGAAATTCTGACCCATGCTACACCATGGATGGGCCTTGAAGGTTTTGCTAAGTGAAATAAGCCTGAAATAAAAGGACAGATACTGTGTGATTCCACTTATATGAGGTTCCCAGAAGAGTCAAGTTCATAGAGACAGTGAGTAGTACAGAGGTTCCCAGGGGATAGGGGAGAAGGAAAAAGGAGGGTTTTGTTGTTTCTGAGATGGAGTTTTGCTCCTGTTGTCCAGGCTGGAGTGCAGTGGTGAGACCTCGGCTGACTGCAACCTCTGCCTCCCTGGTTCAAGTGATCCTCCTGCCTCAGCCTCTCGAGTAGCTGGGATGATAGACATGTACCACCACACCTGGCTAATTTTTGTACTATTAGTAGAGACAGGCTGGTCCCAAACTCCTGACGTCGTGATCTGCCCGCCTCAGCCTCCCAAAGTGCTGGGATTACAGGTGTGAGCCACCATGCCTGGCCAAAAACGAGTTTTTATTTAAGGGATGCAGTTTCAGTGTGGGGTGATAGAAAAGCTCTAGGAGTGAACAGCAATGGTGTTGTGCAACACTGTGAATGGATTTAATGCCACTGAACTGAACCCTTCAACTGTGCCCTTAAAAATGGTACATTTCGTTTCATGTATATTTCATCAAACAAACGAAAAATGGCCGGTAGAAGAGGAAGCCAAGGCAGCAGGCAGTACTTACAAGATATAGGCAATCACCCCAATGGACCAGCAGTCAACGGCTTTGCTGTAAGGTTTCTGGGCAAGGACTTCAGGAGCTGCAGAAAGACAAAGAAAAGACACAGCCTGACAATTTACACGCCTCAGACTGAAGACAGTTTTGGGGTTTGTTATTTGATGATGCCTGAACTTTCAGTGAGTATAAAAACTGAGTAGAGAGACATGACCCACTTTATTCATTGGCTTTTTAAAGGAAGATAGGGTCTTGCTTTGTTGTCCAGGCTGGGGTGCACTGGGTGCACTGCAGTCTTGACCTCCTGGGCACAAGCACATCTCTCACCTAAGCCTCCTGAGTAGTTGGAACCACAGGTATAAGCCACCATGCCTGGCTAATTTTTCTTCTTTTGTTTTTTAAGAGATGAAGTCTCGGAATATTATCCAGCCTGGTCTTGAACTCCTGGCCTCAAGTAATCCTCCCACATCAGCCTCCCAAAATGCTGGGGTTACAGGTATGAGTCACTGCACTCAATAGGCATTTTTAACTAGGAAAAAACATGAAGACTCTACAGTATCTAAAGAATGTAAATAAATAATTAAGGGGCGTGTGGGGGGAGGGGGAGACTACCATAGCTATTTTATGGTAGGGCTGTACTAAGAGTAACTCAGGTCAGGCCGATATAAAAAGAAATACTCATTTGGGTGTCCGGAGTCTGTGACATCACCTCAAGGCAGCGTTTCTGGCCTCTCTGTAGGTCCTTACTAGGCACTGCGGGGTCGCAAAGGTGAAGCCCCTCCCTGGGCCTTCCTGGAGCTGATGGTACAGTGGAGCTCAGAGAAGGCCTACCCTCTGAAAATCCTGCTTCAGGCCTGCTCCTAATTCCTTCTCTAGGGTTTGGGCAGGGTGTCAGTGTGTTCGTTTCATTTTCTCATCTCATTTATGGAACAAAAAAACTGCAATTTAACCTTGCATTCTTGGTTCTAAAGCACTCTTCATCAAGAGTCATCTTCGACAGGGGCTTGGGCTTGCTCTGTACTAATCCTGACTTCCTGTTCCTGGTCTTGGGGCTTGTCCTATACTGATCCTGACTCCCTGTTCCTGGCCTTGGGGCTTTTGCTATATTGATCCCAACTCCCTGTTCCTGGCCTTAGGCTTTTGCTATACTGATCCTGACTCCCTGTTCCTGGCTTGGGGCTTGTTTATACTGATCCTGACTCCTGGCCTATGGCCATCACCCAGCATTGGCTACACACTCAGTCTGGTAACCAGCAGCATCTGGCATAGCTGGCACTCAGTATACCTTAGTGCAAAGAGTAGATAACTACAAAACAAGGCAGCGAATCTGAGTAAGAGCTCCTTTGCCCACAAACACATGTGATGACAATGTCTTTAGCAAAGACTTTCCAGAAAATTTTTAAGGACAGAGAAAATAAAAATAGCTAGAGCTGAAAAGGCAGCTGTTGGATGCTGAGTTAGGTCTTCTTTTGTGATGTAGTCACTCACCCCAACAATCCTTGAGGAGAAGTGCTAGTAGAATGATCACTATTATTCCTGAATGACAAGGGAGGATGCAGAGGTATGAGAGGTCAGGTAACTTGGCCAGTGTTACCCAGTGGAAATGTGATATTCACTCAAACTTCCTTTCAGAAGAGACCTAACTTATATTAAGTGTCTGTCATCAAGTGGGCCCTGGGTGAGTCATTCATAAACGTTTTCTACTGCAATCCTTTAGACTCACAAATATCATTATGTGCACCTGAGAAAAATGAGCCTCAGAGAAGTTAAGTAACTTGTCCCACATCACACAGCTAGAGAGGAAAGAGCTGAGACTTGAAACCAGGTCAATCTGATCCTTGTTCCAGCTCCTTTCACTCAAACATACTGTCTGCTAAGGTGAGGGCATCTTCAGTCTAGATGTACACGGCTGTCCCATCTTTTGGTTTCCCCAGGACACATTGGAAGATGTTGTCTTGGGCCACACATAAAATACACTGACACTAATAATAGCTGATGAGTTAAAAATCAAAAATTGCAACAACAAAAAATTTCATAATGTTTTAAGAAAATTTACGAATTATTGTTGGGTGTCATTCAAAGCTGCATGCGGCCCACTGGTTGGAAAGGAAAGCTCTTTTGCAGAAAAATGAAAGTTCTTTTACAGAAAAATGTATTTCATCCTGCTAACAATATATATATTGCTGAGCAAAAACAGGAAGAACAGCATATAAACCACTGCTAAGCATCTCTGCTCATGGCAGTGTGGGATGCACTCCGCAGATTATCCCACAAGTGACTTTGGTCTCCAACTCCCCCACACCTCCTGTCAGATTTTTATTTTATTTTAATTAATTAATTAATTAATTTGAGACAGAGTCTCACTCTGTCACCAAGGCTGGAGGGCAGTGGCACAATCTCTGCTCACTGCAACCTC